CTAGGGTATCGCTCTGTTGCCCAGGCTGGGGTGCAGTCGTGCAGGGATCTTGGCTCACTGCAACCTCTGCCTCCCAGGTTCAAGCAATTCTCGTGCCTCAGCCTCCCGAGTAGCTGGGATTACAGGTGTACACCATCACACCTGGCTAATTTTTGTATTTTTAATAGAGTTTGGCCATTGTGGCCAGGTTGGTCTCAAACTCCTGACCTCAAGTGAGCCACCTGCCTCAGCCTCCCAAAGTGCTGGGATTACAGGCGTGAGCCACTGCACTCAGCATAGGATTATGATTCTTGTTCTGCAGTGTATCTTCAGTATCTAGAATAGTTTCTGGCATAAACATGTACTTAGTAAATATTTGTTGAATTATTGAATTAATGAATCAGTAGATGTATTAAATGCATCTAACTCCTACTTGTACAAATTTTTACAATAGAATAATTGGGGAAAAACAAGATTTTTGTTTTGAAATTATCCCCAATGATTACTCCCTTAAACCAAGAAAGCACATCATCCTCTCCAGGGATAAAGCTCATCACTGCCCCAGACAGAAGACAGCCTCTCATTTGATTGCAAGATGTTTATCTTAGCATAGCACTTTTCTTTTGGTAGAAAAATGTCAGTGAAATATATTCCTGTTTGTACTTTCGTGTTTACAGGGCATGTTTCAACATAGCTGCTGTTTTATTTAAAATATATGCTGGGTGTGGTGGCTCACACCTATAATCCTAGCACTTTGAGAGGCTGAGGCAGGCGGATCATTTGAGGTCAGGAGTTTGAGATCAGCCTGGCCAACATGGTGAAACCCCGTCTCTACTAATAAAAAATACAAAAATTAGCTGGGTGTGGTGGTGCGTGTCTGTAATCCCAGCTACTCAGGAGTTTGAGGCAGGAGAATTGCTTGAACCTGGGAGGCCAAGGTTGCAGTGAGCTGTGATTGTGCCATTGCACTTCAGCCTGGGTGACAGAGCGAGACTCCATCTCAAATAATAAAATGTATACATAAAATATCTGTAGTGTGCCTCTTTCTATTAGTGCAAATGAGGAAAGCATCTCTTATTGCAGCTTCAGCATTATAGCATTATATCTTAAGGGTAGGGTTAAAAAATTATCCACAGAAGATTAGAAAAATACATTTTAAAAGTACTATTTTGGTGATCTCTAAAGGAGCTGGAAAGGTAAGATCATGTGGCTAAATGTCAGCAGGCAGACTCGTGTCATTTTATCTAACTGGAAACAGTTCACTAAGATCATTTGTAACTTCACATTCCCAAATTGTCATGTGTGAAAGATCCAGTGCTGTATTTGTCACCTGTTTAGGAAGGTAATATAAGCTAAGATGACAGGAGTCTGTGGCACTATGTATGCAGCAGGTTCCTTCGTCTCGCTGCATAGGTCATAAAACCGTGTTTATTTATTCCATAAACGTGGAGTGTCTACTCCGTGATAAATCCTGGCATTGGGAAGGTGAAGACGCCGTCGTCGTTCACAGTCAAGTGGAAGGAGGTAGAAGTGAATGGGATGAAGTGCATCAATGTTTTTCCAAATGCGTTGACCCTCTGGGTCAGTCATTCCTCTCATTTACATAAACATGCTCTCATGTACTATCCAGATTAAAGTCTTTTAAAATACATATTAAAACCAAACTAAAATACAAGAAAGCCCCCGCCATTCTCTCTAGAGAAGCCAGAATGTTTCCTGTGCTGCCAGTAAAACAGGTTTGAGCTATATATGTCAGCATTTCTGACAGGTGTTATAGCAGGGTGGGTTTTTCTCTGGAGCACCAAAGGGCATACATTTATCTTTAGACCATGGGAGCTAGTCTGGAGTGGGAGGACTGCTGTATTTTTATGCCAAGATTTAAATGTTAGAAAGTAGATCTAATCATTAGAAAAAGAAACACACTGGAAGTAGGTTAACTACTAAAGCTGTGAATGTATACCTTCTTTAGGTAAATTGTTTCTATTTCCTTGAGTTAAAAGGATGTCTTTCTGGGGACAAGGAGTGACCAAGATGGGTTGGTTGTGTTGTAACTTGAGATAATCATGTTAAATTAAGCCATGTGGTATGACAGGCTGCAAATTGTTAAGAGCAAGTCTAACACCATGCTAAGTGTGAATGAAAGCTTGAGAGTTGCCAGTTTGATGTGGTGTTAAGACACCTTTTCTGAAATTGTACCAAAGAGGTAAGAAAGAAAGCTTCATCATCTGAATAATATATTTGCACTATAAAATTTAAAATAATCTGTTGTGTACCTATAGACTTTGTTTTGATCATCTGTGTAAAATCTGCTATTAAATAATTGGTTCCTCATATTCTAAATACAGGGTTTATTTCTTCACTCCTGTTAACATATTCATTGACATTTGCAACTTTTCCCAAAGAGGCTCATCAGCAGAGAGCTGTGAGCATACCCTGGCCCTAGAGCGTTGGGACCTTATGAGTCCTCCCTGTCTTCTCGCTGTTAATGATGTAGAGCTCTGGTGTGCTCTCCTAGGATGGCTGGGGATTTTTTTGGCATGACCCTTGCAATTGTCACTTATATGGCTTTCCTGGGCTACTGATGTCAGTGCAACGGCTTTTTTGCTCCTTGAATCGTATTCCTTAGAGTGAAGAGGAGAGGGTATCATCTCTAGCAGGCAATCAGGTCTGAGAGAGACATCCCTCAAGCTTCCTATCACTTCTGAATACCCCCTTTTATCTACACAAAACTGAAAGTTAAAAGGCTGAAAATAAGGTAGTTAAATCACCGCAGTAATTTATCTCCTTCTTTTTGTTACTTAAAAGCCAGTTTACCACTCTGTGTGTATGCCCTTGGGTCTGTCAAGCCATGATTTAGAGCCTCGGCCTTCCTCTTAATTCCCTTTACCAAGTTCCGAGCGGCGCATTTTGCTGATTATAGTCTAGGCTCAGAGCTCCTGTCAGGCCATACCACCACTCCGGAGTGGTTTCTTTTATGTGTTCTCTAAAAATGTTTTAAACAGACATGCTACGCCAAGTGATTTCCAACCTAATGGGAATCAATTAAAATGGGGAAACATGAAGGTGTATTCACTGCCTGTTCTCTGCTTTCTTACGTAATTTGTAATTCCACCCAACTACCTGGGTATTGGTTGGTGACTTCTGAGCCCACTGGAACAGGCGTTCATAGACATTTCCGTCATAACAGCCAAGTGCTGAATTTAAACACTGATCGGTGAAGTCAAAAGCATCAGTTAACAGGATGGCATCCTTCCTGGGAGAGGAAACAAAAGTTTGTGAGTGTTTCAGATTGCTCTTATGAATCAAACTAGTCTTGGATGGTGAATAACAATATCTAATTAAAGGTTGTGTGATTATTCGATTTTCAAACAATTCAGCATTAAAAAAATTTTTTTAATCAGTTATATATATATATGCATAGTATAATGAGTCAAAGAGTTCCTTCAGGCTTGTTTAAAAAAACAGCATATCCCTGTCTGATTTCCACTTCTTTCCCCCAGAGGCGATTTCAATCTTTTAGATGATATTTCAGTATTTATCTGAATGTCGAAATATCTTGTTTATATTGGTGCTTCTTGATGGTTCAGTTTTAGATAGTATTTGTTGATTCTTCATTCAAAAGGTAAGGATTTATATTTATCACCCTTCTCTTCACTTCTACCTCCCCCTGTTCCCATTCTTCCTCCTCCTGGCCTCCTGGCCAGCCAATATAGTTATAATTTTGGCCAGACCAATATTCATTATTGACATTATGATGACTGTGCATCATTAAAGCATTAGAGGTAACTTGGATACTGTATCCAATTTAATTCTTTCTTGATGATCCCCATCACCATTTGAGCCCTATTGCTAATTTAATGTCCCCCCCTGCCCCCTTGTGGTCTCACTTCATTCCTTATCCAGCTGAAAATCCATGCTTTATTACTCTGTCAAAAATATATTCAAGAGGTTGGGTGTGATGGCTCAGACCTGTAATCCCAGCATTTTGGGAGGCCCAGGTGGATGGATCAACTGAAGTCAAGAGTTCGAGACCAGCCTGGCCAACATGGTGAAACCCTGTCTCTACTAAAAATACAAAAATTAGCTAGGTGTGGTGGCTAATTTTTCAGCTGTAGTTTCAGCTACTGGGAAGGCTGAGGTGGGAGAATTGCTTGAACTTGGGAGGCAGAGGTTGCAGTGAGCCAAGATTGTGCCACTGCATTCCAGCTTGGGCAACAGCAAGACTCCCTCTCAAAAAAAAAAAAAACAGACACACACACACACACACACACACACACTCACTCACAACAATTTCTTGCTTTGTCATACCTGTTTAACAAAATGCATACTTCTTTGTCTTTAATTTTCCACCCACTTTGTGCCACCACTTTTGTAGCTATACATGGCTGGAAAAACCAATCATAACTGGTGTAAATAAGGGCTCAGGTGGGCCCAGTTGCAGCTCAGCAATCGTATTACATTGCTGTATTTAGTCATTCTTCATTTACTCTTCTCCTAGATGGTTATTTCATACAATCTCTTTGATCCTCAGATCGACACTGTCCACCTTTGCCATCTCTCTTGCCTGGATGGCTTTGCATCCTATTTCACTGATGAAGTGGAAAAGTAAGAGAATCTGTATAAGTTCCCACCTTTGCATTTATACATACAGTGCCTGCTCTCTTAGTACAGGTTAGCTGTCCAGGCTCCCAGCCTCAGTCCCTCCTTGTCTACTAGATGTCTTTTCCTCTTGCCTACTGGAGAACAAAATTCTCCTCTTTCCCCTATAACATCAAAATTCCCCTCTCAGAGGTGAATGGTTAGTGGAAATGCCCTTCTTTCCTTTTACTGTAGGCCTGGCTGGTTGCTGTCAAAATGGGCATGCTCGTGAAACCTGGGAAAGTGGTGCTAGTCCTGGCTGTATGCTATTCCGGACGCAAAGCCATCATTGTGAAGAGCATTGATGATGGCACCTGAGTCCATTCTTACAGTCAGGCTTTGGTAGCTGGAACTGACTGCTAGTCTCACAAATTGACAGCTGCCATAGGCAAGAAGATCTCCAAGAGGTCCAAGACCAAGTCTTTTGCAAAAGCTTACAGCTGCAGTCACCTCATGCCCACAAGGTACTCTGTGGATATCCTCTTGGACAAACTGTCAACAACAAGGATCTCTTCAAAGACCTTGCTCTTAAACACAAAGCCTGATGGGAGGCCAAGATCAAGTTCAAAGAGAGGTACAATAAAAAAAATCCCCTCTCTACTGGATCATTTCCTTCAGTATACAAACAGAAAGTCATTTATGCCATCTTAAACACAAGCTTTTGACTCTATTTCTTTATCCATCATCTTGGCTCCCCTTTAGGACAAAACTCCCTGAAAGTGTTATGCCTGTTTATTCTCTCCTGAACTAGATCAATTCATGTAAAAACATGACTTCACGACTCCACAGAAATAGCTCTTGTCATCGTTACTTACTTACTCTCTTTTGAGGGTCTGAAGACTCAGTACTTGGACCTCTTCTCTTCATGTACTCCTTGTGATAGTCCTCCTCATGACTTTAAATATCAACCACATGCCAATGACTTCCAAATTCATTCCTCCAGTGTCCCCTGCTTACCAACATCTGTACTTGGATTTCTGACAGGCTCTTCAAATGTAATGTGTCTGAACCCAAACCCCTGGTTGGCCAGAGCTTTCCTGTCCATCCTGCCCAAACCCGGCCCTCCTGCAGTCTTCCCATTTATGGTAAATGGCAGCTTTGTCCTTCCGACCAGAAACCTTGTTTCCTCTCCTTTCTCACCCTACATCTAATTCGTCAGCAAATCCTGTTCTGCCTTCAAGATATATTCAACCTTCAACCACTTTCTGCCACCTCCATCACTCTCACTGGTCCAATTCACTACCATCATTCACTTGAATTATCGCATTAGCCATTCAGCTGATCTCCCTGCTTTTCACTCTTAGTTCTTTTTGTTTGTTTTTGTTTTGAGATGGAGTCTCACTCTGTTGCCAGGCTGAAGAGCAGTGGTGCGATCTTGGCTTACTGCAACCTCCACCTCCTGGGTTCAAGTGATTCTCCTGCCTCAGTCTCCCAGGTAGCTGGGACTACAGGCGTGTGCCACCACATCTGGCTAATTTTTTTGTATTTTTAGTAGAGACGGGGTTTCACCACATTGGCCAGCATGGTCTCAATCTCTTGACCTTGTCATCCGCCCACCTGGGCCTCCCAAAGTGCTGGGATTACAGGCGTGAGCCACCACACCTGGCCTCACTCTTAGTTCTTAATATGGCAGCTGGAGAGGGCCTTTAAAAATATTCATAAGATTCTTTCAGGTTGTGTCTATCCAATACTCAAAACCCTCCCATTCTATCCAGTGCTCAAAACCTTCACATTGTAAGTCTTCGCAAGGATCTACCTTATCCTCTCTTCCTACCCCCACTGTACTCCCTTAACTCTCTGCCCTTTGCCCTCATTTTCCACAGCAGTCATGCCATTCTTGCCCCTGTGACCTCTTCTGTGTTCTCTGGATGGATATGCCAAGCACACTCTGGCCTCCAACATTTGTACCATCATGCACTGCATAATGATGTTTTGGTCAGTGATGGACTGTGTATATGATGGTGGTCCCGTGACATTATAATGGTGCTGAAAAATTCCTGTTGCCTAGTGACATTGTAGCCAATGTAACATCATATAGTGTAAGGCATTGTTAAAGTGTTGGGTCAGCCTACGAGCAATAGGCTATACCATTTAGGCTTGTGTAAGTACACTCTGTGATGTTCACATGATGGCAGAGTCACCTGAAGACACATTTNTCCCGTGACATTCTGATAGAGCTGAAAAATTCCTGTTGCTTAGTGATTTATGTTAGAATTGCCTACGACATTGAGTATAGCCACATACTTTGCTGGGGTCAGCCTACGAGCAATAGGCTATACCATTTAGGCTTGTGTAAGTACACTCTGTGATGTTCACATGATGGCAGAGTCACCTGAAGACACATTTCTCAGAACGGATCCTCCCATCATTAAGTGAGGCGTGACTGTATGATGTTCTGCCTGTAATGCTCTTTCCCTAGCAGCCACGACAGCTTCCCCCTACCTTCTCCCCAGGTCTCTCCTTAACTGTGACCCTCTCAGGGAGGCCTTCTCTAGCCTATTTAAAACTGCAGCTCCCCCTCCCCCCAACTGACCTTCAGCATTCTTTCCCCCACTTCCTGCTACCCTTTGCTTCATAGCAGGTATTACCATTTCACATGGTATACAGCATGACTTATTTTGTGCATATGTGTGCCTGTCTCCTCTCCTCTAGTCTGTAGGCATCTGTGATCCTTTTTGACCTGAAATTCATATCCTTCATTTGAGGAATGTTTTCTTGAATTGTTTTATTAATGATTCGCTTCCTTCTGTTTTCTCTGTCTTCTTTCTAAACCTGTTCTTCAGATGATGAATAGCTAAAATTGGTCCTCTTACTTTTTAAAAGTCCTATTTTTTTGTGTTTTTGCTTTCTTTCTGTGAGATTTCTGCAACTTTATCTTCCAGTCCTTATATTGAGTTTTCATTTCCACTATCATTTTTTAATTTAAAGGAGCTCTTTTTTTAGGTTCTCTGAATATTAGTTTTAAATAGTGGCATTTAGGTTTTTATTTTGTGGTTGCAATATCTTCTCTTAACTCTGAGATCTCACTGTTTGTTTTTTTAAGTTTTCTTCTCCCTGCGGATTCTCTTGTGTCCTCTGAATTGCCTTGTTTTGCTTGTTTTGGTCTCCATTTTTTACGTTAGGGGCATTCTTCAGGTGTCTGGTGATCCCTGAGTGTCTGATCACAGCTAAGAGTAAGACATTAACTAGCTGATTACAAACCTGTGGCTATGCTTGTTAATGTGGGGTTCACTATGGAGTGAATTGGGTGGGCCGCTGGGGGACTCTGATGCCAGTGTCTTTAGCTCCTTCTTGGGCTGGTCAGATTCTCCAGAGAAGAATCATCTTATCATCTTCTTGCAGGGTACTACTCTGGCTGGCAGTTTCTTAGGAACCAGTGGGAAAAAAGGTCTGGAGAGGGAGGTGTCAGCATTTGGCCTATAAAGACCCCCGTCTTCTGAAGGTTAGTCTTATTATCAACTATGCCTGATGCTCCCTAGTCCACAGACCCTCCGTTTACCCTTCTGCCAGGGCAGAGTCAGGGAAAGTCTTAAAATTATTCATAGAGGCCAGGTGTGGTAGCTTATGCATATAATCCTAGCACTTGGGGAGGCTGAGGTAGGAGGATCCCTTGAGTCCAGAAGTTTAAGACCAGCCTGGACAACATAGGGAGACCCCATCTTTAAAAACAAAACCAGAAACCCCTCCAAAGCTCCTAAATAAGTACTCACAGATGAGGAGGGGACTGGGGATTCAGCTCCTTCTGAAATAGACTTTTAACCCCCCCTGTCATACTTACCCTCACCCCCACTGCCAGAGTGGTACACAGTGCTGCTGGTTCCTGGGGTTCTTTGGTGTAACTTGTCTGCCAAATCACTAGTCTGCCAAGTATGTCCATCTATTCTCCAGCTTTCATGTTTTCTCTCCTGTTCTCTTCCTCTTTGTGGGTGTGTGCCTTTTAAAAAATTTCAGTCCATTCACTGATGTTTTAGCAGGGTTTCAGGAAAGAACAAAAGTGAATGCATATGTTTAATCTGCTATCTGTACCTGGAAGTCTCCCAACTGAGGTTTTATGACCACTTAAACAACTGAAAACTGTTTGGGTCAGTTAACATTACAGAGAGCTGGTTCTTGGCATCCTTAGAATACTATGGCACCCTTCATTTTTCATCTCAGAAATCTTAGGGAGATAGTGACTAATCAAGGCAGGGAACTGTGACCCCGAATAATGATATGCACAGAATCTGTTATGTACCTAATTACCCTGCAGTAGTAAGGTTACTTAGGAACCGTCATGTAAGTAAATCCATTTCCGGGGTTGATGCATGAGTAAGTTGGCAGCTCGCATCAGGGCTGTCTATCTTGTCTTGAATTGTAAGTTTCTGGAGCCAAGGCAAGCTCTTAGAAATGCTGTTTGCAAATTAAAAAACATGCTTATAGGGTATTAAGGTGATCTTTTGCATCATTGTTAACCAGAGCTCGAACATTATTTTCACGTACTTTTAAATACTGAGGATTTCAGAAAGATAGACACCTTTGGGCTTGAACTGTGCAATACTTAATTACGCTCTTAATAGTTTTCACCACTGGATTCCTTGTATTAGGGAAAGTTTAATACCTGGGACATAATTGTATCAAATGTATTTTTTGACAGTTTTTCATGCTTTAACTGAACAAACTTTTTTTTTTGTTTGAGATGGAGTCTCACTCTTGTCATCAAGGCTGGAGTGCAGTGGTGCAGTCTCGGCTCACTGCAACCTCTGCCTCCTGGGTTAAAGTGATTCTCCTGCCTCAGCCTCCCAAGTAGCTGGGATTACAGGTGCCTGCAACCACGCCTGGCTAATTTTTGTATTTTTAGTAGGGACGGGGTTTCAACCATCCTGGCCAGGCTGGTCTCAAACTCTTGACCTCAGATGATTCACCTGCCTTGGCCTCCCAAAGTGTTGGGATTACAGGTGTGAGCCACTGCGCCTAGCCTGAACAAACATTTTTTAAACCACCAGCTATGTGTTACATGCTATGAGTAGTCATAAAGGGCATGTAACATATTGTATATTGTTAGAAATAAAAGGAATTTGGTCTAGTTTTTAAAAAGCCTGTCTTAAAAATCTTATTTTTAAAATTACAGATCTTATTTTCTTTATATGTGTGTGTGTGTGTGTGTGTTTGTGTGTTTGTATTTAAATTTTTGAGATGGTGTCTCACTATGGTACCCAAGCTAGTCTTGAACTCTTTGCCTCAAGTGATCCTCCCACCTTGGCCTCCCAAAGTGCTAGGGTTACTGGTGTGAGCCACTGCTCCTGGCCTCTTTTTTCCTTTTATTAGTCTTGTTGATATGAGAATTATTGGAAATTCTAAGAGTCAACCCTGACCCCATGCAATAGGCATCATCTTTTCTGCCCAGTGAGGTCTCAAAAAGATTATATTCTCAAGTTAGTCCATTTTAAAAAAATCTTATAGACAATGATAAATAATTTGCAATGTTTTCTTTTCTTTCCTTTTTTTTTTGAGACTTTGTTGCTCAGGCTGGAGTGCAGTGGTGGGATCATAGCTCACTACAACCTCAACCTCAATCAATCCTCCTACCTCAGCCTCCCGAGTGGCTGAGAATACAGGTGTGTGCCACAATGCCCGATTTCATTTTTTTTGTAGAGATGGAGTTTCACCATATTGCTCAGGCTTTTTTTTTTTTTCTTTATTGTTTTTATTTCTACTTTTTCTAGGACCCTGATCAGGTTGGGCTTTGGTTTTGAGATGTTTTTACAGCAATCATTTAGATGATAGAATAACAGTGTGGAAGCACTGCATTAGTATTTCATGACCCTACATAGCACTGCATTCATGCTGCATTTAAAAATTTTGTGTTATAATTTTACAAATCAATATATGAATTACAGGGTTTTAAAAAAAATTTCATCTTGAAGCTGAGGGAGGATAAGGTAAGTTTACTAATTTTGGTAAGAATTTGCTTAAGCACATTCAACAAAAAGACAAGGATGTGTTTGAAGTAAGTAATTCCTAACATACAGGTTAAGAGTGCATGCTCAGGGGCCAGACCTGAAATTGTAACCGGCTCCTCCCCTGGCTGATTGTGTGACACTGGGCAACCTAACTCCCATCAGCCTGAATTTCTTTTACAATAAAATGAGGAGATTAATAGTACTCCTTTCAAAGGGCTATAAGGATTAAATGAGATGTACGTAAGATAAAGAGCACTTATGAGGGACAGGGCCTGTCACATAAGTGCTCTTTAAGGGTTAGCTATGGCTGGGTGTGATGGTTCACGCCTGAATCCCAGCACTTTGGGAGGCTGAGGCAGGTGGATCACTTGAGGTCAGGAGTTCGAGACCAGCCTGGCCACCATGGTGAAACCCTGTCTTTAAAAAAGAAAAACAAAAAACCCCAAAAGAATCCTGCCTGTAATCCCAGCTACTGGGGAGGCTGAGGCAGGAGAATCACTTGAACCAGGAGGCAGAGGTTGCAGTGAGCTGAGACAATACTACTGCACTTCAGCCTGGACAACAGGGCAAGACCCTGTCTCAAAAAAAAAAGAAGCTAGCTATGATTGAGACTATTATCATTAGCACAATAGCACATATCTTTCATGTAGCATGCTTTGTGTTATTCATCTTCCTTAGATACTCTTCCTATTTCCTTGACAATGTTGAAGAGTTCAATTGAGGTAGCATTATTTATCATTTTTTCTTTCATTAATTCATAATGCTTTATGTTGGTGTAATGATAAACCTCTCCAGGGCTGTTGCTGCTCTGCCCATTAGCAAGGGTTTGGAGTTGGTAGTGACCCGTGAACAAGGGTATAGGGTTATTCTCTGAAGGCCAACATGGTTTGAAGCCTCAGCCACTCACCGGATCAGGCAGAGCAGGTCCAGGTAGGCTATTCTTGCCATGTCCACTTGGGCACCGGACAGGAAGGAATCATGGAGAAAGTCACCCGAGTTAGTCAAGATTCCGTGTATGGCATGGAGGTCACAGAGACGCTTGAGCACCTGCTGAATCGCTGGTTCATTTTCTAGTTTCTCCAGAGCTTCTGCAAAACCCTTCACAGTGACATAGTAGCAGTGTGCCTACAAAGACACAAAGATATGTTCTCCTGATTTCTGATTTCCTACTCCAGAAGTCATCCTATAAGCTTGGCCAGATGGCTGGAACAAACTTGAGGCAGGCATGTGCTTCCCAGCAGGCTGATGAGCAGCTACTTTTTTCCTAGCTCACTCTGGGTCTGATCGAGCCTTTATGATGGCGTGTATATGTTCGTGTGTGTGTGTGTGTGTGTGTGTGTGTGTGTGTGTTGGGGGGCTCATGGACTTTGAAACATGGCTCTTGTTTTCTTCATTTTGCTTGGAGCAGTTTCAAGTAGGTTGGAAAGTGGAGAGAAAGAATACAGGCATATTGGAGGCTGGCCTGGGGAAGGTGGAGGTCAGCACCACTGTTCTTAAGAAAATAGGTATTTTAAAGCTGGTGCAGTGGCTCACACCTGTAATTTCAGCACTTTGGGAGGCCAAGGTGGGTGGATCACCTGAGGTCAGGAGTTCGAGACGAGCCTGACCAACATGGTGAAACCCTGTTTCTACTAAAAATACAAAAATTAGCTCAGCCTGGTGGTACATGCCTATAATCCCAGCTACTTGGGAGGCTGAGGCAGGAGAATCACTTGAACCCAGGAGGCGGAGGTTTCAGTGAACCAAAATTGGGTCATTGCACTTCCGCTTGGGAAACAAGAGTGAAATTCCATCTCAAAAAAAACAATAGCTATTTGTTGTCTGCCATGTTCAAGTCAGTGGTGTATGTATGTGCACACGTGTGTGCACTATGGGGTGAGAAAATAAGAGTTCAAGATGTGTATGAAATTTATCCCAGCTAGAGTATAAACTTCTTAAGGTGAGCAGTGCTGTTATTTAGCGCATATGTAATGGTCTGGCTGTGTCACTTGTTAAAATAATACTTTAATACCAGTTGGCAAGTGTCCACTGCCATCAACCCTGTGAAAGCTCCTCCTGCCAGATGGGCTCCTTCCCGAAGACCCCCTCCTTCCCTCCACAGCCCAGCAACTAATGCTTGACCCAGCAGAAGGCCTTCAGGACCTTGCTTCCCCTAGGCCTGACGTCCAGTTGATCGGTTGGTGCCCTGTCCTATGGGTTGTTAATATTTTGAACAGTCCCCATCTTGTCAAGACAAGCACATGTAATTATTTTGTCAGGTAGGATATATGAGCTCCTCAAGGGAGAGCGAGGAAGAGAGGGAGTGTAAAGCCGTGCTTCTCAATTTTACTTTTTATTTTTGAGATAGAATCTCACTGTGTCCCCCAGGCTGAATTACAGTGTTATGATCTCGGCTCACTGCAACCTCTGCCCCACTGGGCTCAAGTGATTCTCCCACTTCAGCCTCCCAAGTAGTTGGGGCCACAGGCACATACCACCATGCCAGGCTTTTTTTTTTTTTTTTGTATTTTTAGTAGAAATAAGGGTCTTGCCATGTTGCCCACACTGGTCTTGGACTCCTGAGCTCAAGTGATCCTCCTTCCTTGGCTTCCCAAAGTGCTGGGATTACAGGCGTGGGTCTCTGGGCCCAGCCAGCTTCTCAGATTTTTGTGTGCATATAGATCACCTGGGGATCTTGTCAAAATGCAGATTCCAATGCAGGGGCTAAGACTGTGCATTTCTTTTTTTTGAGACGGAGTTTCGTTCTTGTCGCCTAGGCTGGAGTGCAATGGTGCAATCTTGGTTCGCCGCAACCTCCGCCTCCTGAGTTCAAGTGATTCTTCTGTCTCAGCCTCCTGAGTAGCTGAGATTACAGGCATCCACCACCACGCCCTGATAATTTTGTATTTTTTTACTAGAGAGGGGTTTCTCCATGTTGGTCAGGCTGGTCTTGAACTCTGGACCTCAGGTGATCTGCCCGCCTCAGCCTCCCAAAGTGCTGGGATTACAAGCATGAGCCACCGTGCCTGACCTAAGACTGCATTTTTAATGAGGTCCCCTGTGATGCCCGTGCTGCTGTAGTGATTTTCAGTAGCAAGACTTAGAGTGTTTGGGGGGGTTCGGCTGGACACTGTGGCTCACACCTGTAATCCCAGCACTTTGGGAAGCTGAGGTGGGTGGATCACTTGAGGTCAGCAGTTCAAGACCAGCCTGGCCAACATGGCGAAACCCTGCCTCTACAAAAATACAAAAATTAGCTAGGTGTGTTGGTGCACACCTGTAATTCTGGCTACTTGGGAGGCTGAGGCACAAGAATCGCTTGTGCCTGGGAGATAGAGGTTACAGTGAGTTGAGATGGTGCCACTGCACTCCAGCCTGGGTGACAGAGTGAGATCCTGTCTTTAAAAAAAATAAAAGAGCATCTTGGGGTTTCAAAGGAGTTCACCCAAGGAGACATGAATTGGGGGAAAGGTCACTCCAGGCAGGGGGAACATTTTGTGCAAAAGGCTGTGCTTTCAGGAAGCTGCAGGCAATTTAATGAGGCTGAAGTGTGGGGGTATAATGTGGTGATGATGCGGAACTGTGGAGGTTAGGGTGGACCCAGACCTGGGGCCCAGGTCAGTGAAGGGCTGTGAATGACAGGGTCTGGATTTGTTCTGTGGGACCGGGAGTCTTCAGCAGGATGGTGACCCGATTCATTTTCTCACTTGGAAAGAACCTGTGTTTCCTAGGGGGCTCTCACACAGGCGCTGACAACTCCACTTTGCCATGCAGACATGGTGTGCAGACAGCCTGCTGAGCTTGCAGCATTTGGCTGCGGGAGGTGAGCAGATGTGCTACGCCGCCTCTGCTGGCTCCATTAGCCTTTGCTGCTCAGACTCGGTCCAGCTTGGCAGAACTGCAGACCCACACTCCTTTTCCTGCCCTAACCTGAGAGCCACATCCTCAAATGCTCAAGGCTCTGAGTTGAGGGGTGGAGTGATGGAGCTGCCCAAGGGTCTGGGCCTCCGCCTTAAAAAGCAGGATGCGGATCAGAGACAGGGGTGACCTCTACGCTTTGGGGAAGGGCTGAGCCGAACCTTGGCCCCATGCTCTGAGCACAGTGAACATTATTTACATTGCGTGTGTTGGTTTAAATCTTGCCTGCTGTCTAATTTGGGTGTAGGGGTGCGATATATAGCACTTACATGCTAGCTGCCTCTCTTAAATTTTATGTGTATTAACTCATTTAATCGTCATCAGAATCCTACAAAGTAGGTACTGTTATTAGTTCCATCTTGCAGATGAAGAGACTGAGGCTCTGAGAGATTAAGTTTTTTGCCCAAGGTGATGGCTAGAAAGTGGTGGCAGTGAGATCCACACCAGTGCTGTATTCCTAACCCTGTGTGGCCAAAGCCACAGGAGAGCGGCTGGATTATAATGAGGCCAGCACTTGTTCCAGTCGTCCTGGAAACTGACATCTCTTCTGGTCAGTCTGAATTATAGAATCAGAGCCTGTCAGAGTCTAAAGGGCTCTTCCATGCCCCTTTGTTTACAGACAGGGAAGTTAAAGCCCAGAGACGGAAGGGGTGCTTGAGGTCACACAGAGCTGGGACCAGAATTTAGCCTGTGGCTCTCCCTTGCCTACTTTTCTGTCAATATCATCCCCACTCCCCCCAAGTTGCGGTTATCTCTACCTGCACATTTATGGTTTCCAGATGGGGCCCAGTTGGGTGCTGAAGCTTTCTGTAGACTACATAACCCCACAAAGCACAGAGAGTACAGAAAGCCCTTTCCATTATGACCTTGGAGAATTAGCTGGGGCATCACCTCCCCAGGAAACTGTCAGGGATGTGTTCTTCCCCTGCAGGCTGGCTGGCTGCCACCCTCCGTCACCCCCCGAGGTTGTTGCTCACCTCTGTCACTCATCACACCCTTGGTGGTTTGGGAAGGGAAAGTGTCTGGACTCAGCCATTTCCTACCTCTGGGACCTAACTCCTGAGTTCTCTTTCCTCACCATTGAAGTGGAGATGATGTCAGTCTCCCACCCAGGGTTGTGTGGATTAAATGAAGTAACCCGGGCAAGCAGTATCTGGTCCGTTTGAAGGCAGGCCATAGGTTTCACGGAAAATGGATGAGTGGATAATGGGAGGCTGTGGTTGCCGTTTTGGTGATCCAGTGAAGGCACAAAGCCTTGGCTAACCCTCTGTGTTGACAGGACAGTTAGCACAGCAGGGGGTGCCCTTGCTGTGGGCTGAGCAGAACTGAGGACTGCAGAGTCAATACCAGCACCTGTGGTGTGGTGGAGGTGGTGGTTCACGTGGGGGTGCTCACGCCCAGCCTGCCCCACCAGCCCTGTCCCACGAGGGCGTCTGCAGCCTTTCAGGGCTCTCCTGTTCCAAGGCTGCCATTTTCTGGGTCTGAGGCCTGAGGCCTTTAGTTTTCCAGTTATTGGCAGGGCCAGAGTCCCAGCTGCCTAAGCTAGAACTCGGGAGTTGTTCTTACCTCTTTCCCACCCCAGCGCTGAGGGCCGTCCCTGCCTTCTTTCCCCTTAGCATCTCTGATCTACCCACTTGTCTCCAGGCTCTCTGCCATGCTCATGGTCGGGACCACCCTCAGTCCTGGCCCAGACTTGTTCCCTTTTAACTGGCCTCTAGCCTCCTGTCCATTCCTCCCCCTGTAGCCTGCATGATTCTTCTAGAATGAAACTGATTACCCCACCTCCAAACAAATTCAGCACAGGCATTGCAATGAAAACAAACCCCCAACTTTTCACAGTGATACAAAAGGTCAGACGAGGCCTTGCCTGTCTCTCCTCCCCGTGTCTCAGTCCCCCTCCTTAGGTCCTCCCTGGGAGATTTGCGCTTCCTCCCAAGCACACCAGGCTGTTTCTTGCTGCCTCCTTTGGCATGCGCAGCTCCCTTTGCCCGGAAACTCTTCTCTCCGAAGCTGCTGCCACGCCATTTGGCTAATTTCAGCTTATCCTTGAAGTCTGAGCCTATATGCCACTTTCTGACTCCTACAGGTAGGCAGAAGGGCACCTGCTCTGGGATTCCACAGCAGCCTGTATTTCCCTGCCATAGTGCTTCCTTGATTGTAGCTGTGTATAGGCAGTGGCTTCACTGATGAGCACCCAGCTCAGTGCCTAGTGCAGAGTGGGTGCTCAAATATTTGCCGACTGACTGTGAATTATGCACAAACACAAAACAGAGTGGAAATTGAATCAGACATCTAAGGATTGCCTGTGGGGCTAAGGGGAGACTTGACCTGCTTTTCTATCTGGGAGGAAATATTTGAACAACCTGAAGCAAATCCAATAACACTGCCTCATTACCTTTTCCCGTAAGAGCTGCCAGCAAGATTGCTTTGGAGTTAAGTCCTTTAATTAAAATACCCTGGACTAAAGCCTTAGAAGTGAAATGAGGGCAGCCGCTGGCAGAGCAGAGTTTGGGAATAATGGCAGAACCTGGATTTTCCCAGCAGGGTAGCCTGCCTGGCAAACAAAAACGGATCCCTTTTAGCTTCGGCTGGCGGGAGCTCACCTTAGCAGCCTGGAGGTGTATGACAGTGGTCTGGTTCCAGGCCTCGTGCTGGTCAGCTCCGGATTGCGTCAGGGTCTGTAAATGGTGCACTGAGTCCTTTATCAGCCTGAAGGACAAAGAAAAAAAGGTTCAGCTTCCTGACTGAGTGGAAAAGACAACTGATGGGCTTCCTGTGGTTCCTCAGAAGTAGAAATAATGCCTATTTATTGACCACTTGTGTGCCATCAAGCTAAATGACTGATATTCATTATCTCTTTAACTCTTTTAAGGGCAGGCACCCGCCAGTTTGCAGTGGGGAAAACTGAGTCCCAGAGAGGTTAACTAATTTGTCTAGGGTCACACAGCTAATAAGGAGCAGAGCCAGGAT